GGTTTTAAGCTATCGCTTTGAAACTTTCAGATATGATGGATAATGATATAGACTCAAAAAGAGTGTGAGGAATTTTCCGATTTCCCTTTGTAACTCATTTTATGTCAGTTTCTTTGCGTAAATCGCGCTCGAGATTCGACTTTTTAGTTTGAAATGCAATAATTCCGCTAATACGAGACATATGCAAATTTCCTCACACCCTTTTTTAAGTCTTTTCTCTGTCAATCAGACGCAATAAAAAGGAAGTGAATATTAACAACGCGAAAGGGCTGGAGCTTCAGCAGTAAACTCGATACCTCTGAGTTCGAGAACAAAAAACTTAAGCGCCTTTTGAAATTCGATAAAATAAAATCTTTTATAAGGTAATTTAGTCTTTTAGCTTTAATTTGATATATAACTTGCCTTTGTAGCGAAAATACTCGCGCGACTAGAATTTTTTTCTGTGGGCACCTCGTTTCCCTTTACCGAGACCTTTTAAGAGCATTTAGTTCTTTAATAGAGGAATAAAAGAATGTTCTCCTCATTGCTTCAGTTCTGGGTTTCCGTAAGCGGTATAATGTTTTTGTTCTGGTAGAGTACTTGTGTTCAAACCGACGTGAGTCCAAGGTTGTAATTAAGTATTCCGGTACCCTACCATCAATTAATAACTTTCGTTAAAAGGCCGAGTTTATTGAGCTTGAATAGTTGATCAAGGGATAGCCACTTAAGCTTTTGAAAATTATCATACGATCGTGCATCCCGAAGAATATCCAAAATTAATCGAGCGCAGCGTTTTTGAAGTTTAAACAATTCATCTAAGTTGGTTTGGCTACAGTTGCTCCAAACAGTACAGTAATAAGGCGTAAGCTCTTTCCCTCGTTTCTTGCGGCAAAGCGGCTTCGCCGCTCGCGTGCTTAGGTTTCGCGTGCGGTAACTTTGCAAAGAAAAATAAGAGGCGCGCAGTCTAGTTCAGAAAGAGAAACAAAATTTTGTCATGGATTTTCACGTCATAGTCGTGCAGTGACAGCAAAGAAATGTACAAAAAAGCTAGCCTGCGTAGCAAGCGTTTCCGTTTGGTTTCGGAGCAAAGAAATACCGAGGAAGGGACTTTCGGTTTTGACCGCGCGAGAAATGAAACGAGAGCCAAAAAAAGAAAGAGGGGGAGGGGGAAGGGAAGGAAGAAAACCTTCCTTTCTTCCCCACCCACTCCCCGCTCTTTTACTTGCGCCACTTTTCTCGCGGTCTTTGATTCTCGTTCCTCGTTCTTTTCTCCTAAACCGCACAGAAACGCTTGCTACGCAGGCTACAAAAAAGCGTGCTGTGCGCGCAGAGATGTTGTTTTGCTTCAGTTTAGACTACTATATTATTATAGTTGGTTTTAGGAATGTTTCAAACAAAATTCAATAGGCATTATACCGTTAGGTTCAGACGTTGTCTCGGTAATTGAATTAAAATGATAACATTAAAGAGGCTACTTCTGCGCGTGTCATTATTCAGTACAGCTGTATATCATTAAGACATTGTCAGATACCTCATTATAGATCTCCATATAGGAAACTCTGATCAAAAATTCTCTGGAGGGATGCTGAGAAGAAAACATAACAATAAGAAGAAGTCCATGACGATATGACACAGCCATAATTTTCAGGGCTGTGCTCTAAGAAAAATTATAGGGAGCCCAATGCTTAAGCTCAGTCTCCAGTGTTGGGTGAGAGGGTGTTGTGATGCGCCAGCGGTACTCCCCACCTGAGTACCACAGGTGCATCGAGAGACCCAAGGCTGGAGACTGAGCCTGCCCAATGCTCTGAAACTGAGAAATCCAGGGTGCCCAGCATATAATTTCCACGCAAAAACTGAGATTTCCTAGTCATCCAAGAACAAAAGTAAGACGGCAGGTGCCTCCTGACCAGGTATTGCTAGAGCACAGCCATTATTTCGGTAACATTGCAGTACACTGTGAGTATATTATGTAAAAACCACACCCAAATATGACAGTTGTTTTGCTTGCGTTCAATGGTATTATTTTTGTCTAAGGACAAGGAAAGGGTGGCACAAAAGTTTCATGGCTTTAACCCTTGAATTCTCATTTGTTGCCCCTATTCATTTCCTACAGAGGTAGTGGGGAGAAGTTGATAAAATATCAAGCAAATTCATCTTGTGTGATCATGTCCATAATGCTCATGACCACTCTGTTTTACAAAGCATTGATATTACAAGGAGAAATTTCATTCTGATCACTCTCAGGGCTTAAAGGGTTAAGTATTGGTAAAAGACCTTAGAGAACCCCTTGCTCTCCAAAAGGGCCAACAGACTACATGGTGACTTCACATCACATACATCACAACATTTAATTCGATAATTTACCTTTTCAATGTAGTCATATATCTCACCAACTGCTTTTGGAATAACTCCTTCATTTTGCTGGTCTCCCATCATGGTGTATGTCTTGCCAGAGGATGTTTGCCCATAGGCAAATAAAGTTCCTAGAATTTATCGAGGAAAGGAACAATATAGTGGTTTAAAAGTTACCAAACATGGATTGGCGACAAAACCTGGATCAGACTGGATTAAATCAGTCGTTGTTACTCCCTCCCACCCAAGGAAAGGGTGGGGGGGGGGGGCACACCCAATCCAGTCTTATCCAGCATCTTAAAATGATGGTACAATACAACAGACAATAAGCAACCCACAAAGCAATCATTGGAGAGGGGAAGGGGTGTATGGATGGATAGAACAAACAAGAGGTGTTAGAAAGAAAATGCTCTGTTCTGTCTCTGACAAAAAAACACGATAATATTATGTAGTATTAAGGTAATCTAAGGTGCTCACCATTAAAGCCATCCATGGCTGAAAGGACTATAGGTCGACCAAACTCATCATAAACATCTTGGGTGGAATTTGAAATATCAAATATTCTGTCTACAATAATAATGGGGCGAAATTTAAAATGATATCAATTAAAAGTTTTCCTTGATGAGTGGTAGTACAACAAAATTGTTAGTACGGAACCTGTGTTAAGGCACAGAAGGTAAAAGGCAAAACTTGAGGTGTCAGTTAAACCTGTTTGTCCTAACCTAGACATTTTGCCTTCTGCGCATGCTTAAAAATTGAGACACCTTGCGGCCCCTTGGGCTTAACTATTTCTCCCGGGCAGATAGAACATCTAAGTCAGAGGGGAGAAAAGGAAATACTGTTTCTAAATCTTCTGTTTCCTTTTTGCTAATGCTCTTCAGTTTTTGCGGAGCAACAAAGTCACACAGAAATGATTACTGGGGGGCTAAAGAGATTATAGTAAATATTGATATCTCAGTGTCATTTATGAGACTGTTTAACTGTACAGAAAGAGAATTCAAGGATGGCTGTTATGAAGTTTACATGTACTTTGCATGAATACATGTAAAGGGTGACAACAAGAGGGAAAACCTCACTGTCTCTCTTACAAAATCTCCACACAGCAAGGAGTAATGAGAGACAGCTGTATTCACAAGCTAACTTAGGTTAACACGACAGTTTTGAAAAGCAAAAAAAAAAGAAGTTTACCAAAGACGTAAGGCGAATTTGACAATGCCTTTCCATTACTAATCTGAGTTATTATGTTCCTGTCAACTTTCCAGTGAGTTTGTGTATGATAGTCGTTTTCCCTGGAAAATCAGAGAAATGTTAATACAAAGATTATAACAACAGTGTATCTCATTGCCGATGAGGACTGACAAAGCTAAAAACTGTGTCTGACTCATTAGTGGTCACCTTTTTAGTGCATGGGAAGGGAAAAGGGAAGAGGGAAGAATTGAGAAGCAGCATTTGACAGGTCTTTTCTCTCCTCTCCTCTTTTTTATCACCTTCCATTCACCTGTTGGCAACAGGTCAAAATTAAATTCAGGTTAAAATTTTTAACATACATTGTAGGTTGATCCTCAAATTCCTTCATCTCCTAGCCCTTAAAATTAGGGTTAGGAGATACAGGAATTTGAAAATCAACCTAGGTTATTAAAAAAATCAACCTAAATATAATTTGACCTGTAACATATCCATCCTACTCAACAAAGCTGACTGGCCTTTAATACAATGCATAAAAAATGCATGTTTTAACCAGCTAGAGAGCAAAGTCAAGTTATTTTCACTTTACTGGGAGTTCAGCTGATCAAAACATTATAACATGCATTGTTGGTCAGTTTCAGGGTACGGTGCATATGTTATATGTACTCAAAAGCTGAGATATGTATTCAAACTAATTATAGCAGTTAGCCCGGCTCCAGCAGGCCTGTCTGTTGTCAAATTTAAAATATTATAGTATATCTAGGATCTATTTTTTATGATAAAAACAAAATCGTATCATAGTTAAGCTTATTTTTTTGTTAAGCTTACAATATTTATACACATGGTAGAATATACTTCAATCGTTCTTTCGTAAAACGACAGACCTTGTCGATAAAACAGTGAATCATGCTCCAATTCACAAATTAATGTTGGCCACGAGTGAAAGTTTAACCGTTCAAAAAAGACTATGCACTCACCTTTTAATCAACGGACGAACTCTGATCGCGACTCTTATATTGTCAGTGGTTGGGGATGCCATTTCCAAGTACTAATGAAGCAGGAAAGACCGCAGAAATAAATCCAATGTAGGGCAAACAGTTTGACCTAAATCGAAGGGAAGAGTAACAGTTCCAGCTACTAGAGCAAACTTACCGCCGCTCACTGGAATTATTTCGTTCGTCTTTTGAACGGGTAAGAATAAAAGCAAACTAAGGTTCCCAGACAGCCTTCACAAATAAATAAGAAACAACCGACGGATAGATGTGGACAAAAAGCAAGAAATCCTGCTGCTCCTCACCACTCACAAAACATTTCGAAGGCGAAGAAGATCGAGTTTGAAAATTGTAGCTTTCTTGTTCCAGTTTGTGATTGGTCACTTGCTCGTCACCAGCTCTTCACATTCTTTGATCTTCTCCTTGCAGCTGATTGGCTTTCTTTTTTGGCCAATAACAAAAGAAGTTGCACCACACGCAAAACCCGGTAAAATGGCGGATAAACATACTCTGTGGAGGTGTGGAGTGTTTTCTTTGGTAAATTTCACTGGTAAAAATGAGCCTTTAATCTGCTGTGGTGTCACGATATCACTATAAGATGGCGGTAAGTGTTAAAACGAAATTGATACCGAAATTAGAACCTACCAACTCAAAGTTGTTGAACTAAAACTTATCGCTGAACTTATGCGTCCGTCTTTGGGACCTCAGCGTAAATTCATTTATGACTTTGTATTCACCACGCTTATTTGTTAGTTTTCCAGGGTACATTCCTCTGTACCTCTGAACGTTTGTTCGTTGTATTTCTGATTGTGTCACCTAATTTAAGGACCGTTGATCGCGTTTTTACGCAATTTTATGGCGCCGGCCGGCGGCCGGTGGGGTGAAGGCAGTGATGCGAAACATCGAAGCCCTTTTACTTTGTTGGGTGTTGGTAACTCTGAATCTTACACTCCGAAGCAGATTCAATTTAGCTGCTTGTCTGGTGAACATTCATGTACAGCTCAGCACAGAGTAATGTGAACAAACGTTTGCTTAACGAGTGCTAAGGAGTGTGAATTTGAACACAAAATTGGTGCGTGCATATTCACACTCCTCACACTCCCTTGTTTAATCCACCTTAATCCAAACTGGTGGCAATAATACTTTTCTTTTATATTGATGTTAATATCCCTCTTTGCCACAAATAGGTCAATAGAATTCAACAACACTTTTACCTCAAAATGAGGCATTGACGGCCAATTAAGATGAAGACCAAAGTCAGCTAAATGAGGCCCTCTTGTGTGTGTGGGGGTGGGGTGGGGGGTGCGTTTCCCTGGTCTGAAATTCAAAATTGGTCAGTTTATACACTGAGAAGTAGGCTATATCCCTGTCATTTTTTACTATAATTTTATTTGTGATAATTGTCCTCCTCGATGTCACAGTTTCAACCTATCGTTATGTCTTTTGCTGCCACTTTATCTGTCTTATGTTACTGTTTCAGAGCCAGTTGCTTGTCAAAATATTACGCTTACAGGCCCCCCTTAATATGTTGTTAGTTTGAAAAAATATTTACAAATAATGTTGCTTTTCAAAGGCACAATTGACCTCAAACTTCATGTGATTCTATACTCCCAAAGAAATCTCATTGTAAATCAAGAAACGGATACTCTGTACCAAATGGCAAGAATGATTTTATTGTTTTTTGGAAACACCATGCATGGCCTCTGGTGTTTTTGTTAATCTAGTGACAGTAAGCATTTTATATGTATGCAAAATTATGGTCTCGACAAATCACAAATTTTTACTGACTTTGACTTTGATCACTGCAGAACATAACCCAAATTTTTAATTACTTGTACAGGATGAGAAAAAGCTGGAAGAGGAACTTGCGTCATTCCGACGTGAATGGAAGGAAGAGATTAGACGAACTGTCACTGACAGTGGATCATCACGAAATTCACCCTCTGTAGAGTCGCCCTCTCCATCTAGCCGTGAAGGCTCTCCAAGTCCACTGCTTTTGGAAACTAAGAACTCTTCTAATACAACATCACTTACTAAGGAGGAAAAGGTACTATTTTGATTCATTCTACTTTGATTCTTTCTGATGGCAGGGGTGGATCTAGGGGGAGGGTGCAGGGGGTGCGCTTCCCCCCCCCCCCTTGAGATGACCTGCGGTTTTCTAATACAACTGGTATTCTGCAAAAAAAAACTATGTGGTTTATTGGTGTTGAAGAAGAGCAAGAGACGAGTGCACCCCCTCCTAAAAAAAATCCTGGATCCGCCCCTGGATGAGGATACATTGACCCAATCAGAGTCAGCTTGAGGCATCTCTTATATTCCCTCTTGGACTGTTGTTTCATTCTTTCATCCTCTACTTTATTAGTCTTGCTTGCATAAGCAGCGTGACTCATAATCTGCAAGCTGTTTTTTTTTCTTCAAATTAAGTACACAAAAAGGGGGTTGTTGTCCTAGGTGTTGCTAGCGGAGACTGCGGAAACTGGTAATAAGAATCGTTGCATGACCAAAGCCATGTGTGTTTTGAAAAGAAAGCTTTAAGGTTAGAGCTTTTCCCGAACAGGTCTGTCCATGAATTTTAATGCTTGAAAGCGTTGATTACTGTGGAATTAGGGAACACTTCAGTGGTCGGAAAAAACGAAGAATCTTAATTAGCAAAAGACTAACTGGTCGTGTGTTGTAAACTTTCATTGGATGCAAATGGGTCTTGTGATGAGCTTGCAGTTTATTTTCGGTGATGATTGAAATGACATGCCTTGTAAATTACTATTTTGATCTCTGGCAATGATGTAATTTCTCTAGAATTGAAGCCCTGGAAGTTTCATGTATTTATACACTTGTATAGCCTGCAACTGCAGAATTATTTCTGGTAATCGCTAACACGCATACTAAATCAATTCTTTAGCAAGTAAATCCTGTTTCGTGTAGAATTAATCGCCTCCTCAGTTCTCGATCTAACCTCCAACCAAGCAAGACTTAACACCACTATAAGAACGTTCTTGTCTGGTTCTAGAATCCTGAGGTATCTTTATCCACCTCCTGCCACTGGATAGCTCAAGTCCTTCACATCCGATCACCTTACCTGAGATCTTGTACTTAAATGGCCTGTCTCAATATGATGGTCTTTCCAAGAAGGGCAGATTCTTGCCAAGTTGTGGTGGTGATGATGATGATGATGATGATGATTATTATTATTATTATCATTATTATCAACAATTCTCATCACCATCATCATCATTATTATTATTATTATTATTTATTCATTTTTATTGTTTGTCTTAAATAGGCCACACAGTTGTTTTCACAAGGGGTGTCTGCAGAGAGGCGTGGAAACGTTTATGAAGGTAAAAAATTTCTGTACAAGTCCTTGAAAAGTCCTTGAATTTTCTTCAACTTTAAATGACAAACATTTTTCAAGATGCAAAAATTATGGTGTAATTTGGTATTTGTAATTTGTATTTTTTGTAACTTTTTGGAAAAGATTACATTTAGTTTCAAAAAAAAGAATCATATTTTGCACTATCCAAAAGAAACATAACAGGTTGTATTTTATAAGCTGTTTGATTTTCAGTCTGTTCTCCTCCTTTGTTGACTTGGTAACTTTTCAATAGTTTCCTTTGTTTGTGTTGCTTTATTTACTAGTCCACATGTGAAAGGCAAAAAATTTTGTATGCATCATCTTACCCAGGGTTTCTCGATCTGGATTCCAAGATGGCGGAGATAGAAAAAGTCCGTTTAGCAAAAGCTCATTGTAATAACTAAACAATTCCTTTTTTTTTTTATTTGGCTGTTTTTTTTCCTTGAGAAGTTCCTTAAAGTATTTTTTCATTTGTTTTTTTACTTTCCACTCAGAAAATTCTTTCCAGTGGTGAACGGGTAAAAAGTTCCTTAATTATATTGTGTTTGCAAAATTTTCTTGAACTTTAAATATCATTGGCCTGGAAATTTCTGTGTGTTTTGATTTACTTGAACTTTAAATATAGTGGCCTGGAAAGTGTGTTTTGATACTTTTTGGTTGTCCAAGATAGAATATAAATCATAGCTTGGAGAATTTAATAGTTATTTACATAAAGTGCTCTATGGTTTGTGCAATACTCAACTATCCTTTAAGACAATTGAACTGAAAAATGTAGAGAAGTTGGTGAAGCAAACAGTTGAAGCCTTAAAGTCTTAGAATAGACTGGGAATCTGCATTTTTGTGCAATCTGTGAAATTATAGTCCTAGTAGGTAGTTTTTGAAAATTGAATGTGGTCCTTGAAAAGTCCTTGAAAAATGGTTGCAATTTTTGTATGAACCCTGTCTCTTCAGCTGTTACAAAAGCAGTCTTCTTGCAGCCATGAAATGCTATGTACATGTGTACATCTATTAATAAAGCCCGTAGCAGGACGTTTTTGGTTGCAATCTGACTTTGCATCAGTGGAATAAATTGTACATAAAACGTTTATAGAATTCTTTTTTTTTCTGATGGCAGCAATCCTTACATAATAAAAATGATTTAAAAATGAAAAGAAACAAAGTCAAAGAAAGAGAACGATAATTTATTGGAATAATAGTGTACTTTGTAACAAAATTCTATGTCAAATGGTAACCCCTTTCTTTTTTCAGCTCTTCATTTTTACAGGCGAGCTGTTCAGCTTGTGCCAGACATAGAATCAAGGATGATAGATTTCACCAATAATTTAATGCAAGGTAAAAGTTAAGGGGAGTTCTGTACAAGTGTTTTTTTTTTTTTAATTTTAATTTTAATTTCTTTTTTTTGATGTTTTCCTTTTGTACTTAAGTTTAAATGTAAAATTTAACATTTGGTATTTTTTTTTATGATTTTGTAGATGAGGAAGATAGTGATAATGAAACTGACTATACGTATAATGTGGTCAAGGAAAACCAAGAGTAAGCCGTCTGTAAATTTTATTTAATTGTCTTGAGTGAATTATAGGGGCTATCCAATGTATTTCACTATTGGCTATCTTTTTGAAAACATGTCTCGGCATCAGTTAAATTCTAAAGATAAATGGTCCAATTTTGTTGTTTGCAAGGATAGACATGGATTGAAACTTAAAAAAATTGGGCCAACCTTTTCAAGTTTTAATGCTGAGCCAAATCACCCAAAAAAATCCAAATCACCAAAAAATTATTTTAGTTAGGCCTGGTTCACACTCCATACTTTTCATGTGCCAAACCTAATTGAACAAGTTTGACTTTGGAGCGACACTGGTGCGACATCTGATTGAGACTCGCACCATGTGTCAAGCCTAAGTTAATTAAGTTCAACAAAAGTTTGACAGACTCTGTTGAACTTAACCCTTTTGCCTCACCAAACTAAAACTGCTGCACCAAATTGATTCAGACACCGCTCTTTTGCCATACTTAATTCAATAGTGAGGTTCGGCACATGAGTGGAGCAGCGTCTGAAACCAGGCCTTAGTGCTCCCTGATGAAATTTGATGATGCTGTCTTCATCATAACTCTGCAGGAGCATTTTGTGTAGGTGTAATTAAAAGGTACTAAAATTTAGTCAATTCTCTGCTGAAAAAATCCGCTTCAACAGATATTGTTTGATCAGACAGACATTAATAGGTTTTGGCTGGTAATTCATTATGTAAAACCTTCTGCGTACAGAGGGTTTGCACAGGTCATGGAAAACCTGGAAAGTCATAGAATTTTAGAATTTCATTTTCCAGGCCTGGGAAGTCATCGAATTTAATTGTGGGTCCTTGAAAGTCATGGAAAATTAAAGTTTTGGTTGCTAAATTAGTTACTGCAGATGACAAAGCAAGGACAATGTAAGACAGAGATGAGTAATTAAGGTGATTCCCTAGTAAAAGAACCCAACATAGATTGTAGATGAAACTTGGTACACTGATGTAACAAGTCAAGAAGATGATTAAAAAAGTAATAAAAAGTGGGGGTCACCGTGCTCGTTTTGACGTCACAATGCTAAGAAATACGGTTATTTTGGACCCTTTGTCAAAAACCGCGCGCAGCCCAAAACGAGACAAAAACGAGAGATTTTTGCGATGATGCATGTGGTATCGCACAGAATTTGACTTTATTGTACTGTTTATCCACTTAAATACCAGAAAAATACCTTTTAATGCTCATGTTTTTATTTTACGCTCCAAAGTAGAATTGAATTGGACACGCGCTATTCGACCCGTGATAGCTCAATCCGTACAATTTAGTAAAATTGCCAAGAAACTGAACGTAGATTTGTGCCAATTTTTTTCTCATCGAAAGGAAGCACTGTCCTTTTTATTAACATGAAATAAAAAATGGGGGTCACCATACTCGTTTTTGCAGTAGAGCTGCAGAAAGTGCACACCAAAGTCATTTTCTCCGGGTTTTGAGAGAGGACTGGGGCGTTTCAAAATAGAATGTGTGTGAAAGGGGGAAGAAAGTATTAAAAAATCTGTTTTTACGGAATTTACATCGAGATATCACATTTAGGATACAATGTGATAAAGAAAGCATTTAAATAAGAATCAAAGTGAGTAAGCACAAGTTAAACATCCACTATCGAGGTTCTCTGTGAGGAAGTCGAACTCAGCAACACGGTTCTGCCTACGTTATGCACATTCCCAACACATTGAGTCTCACCTCGGCAAGAAACAACCGCAAGCAAAAATTCCAATAGCCTTTCTCTTCAGTCAACTTCATTTTAATAATGTTACTTCACATGCTCTTTTTTACGGCCGCCATCTTGTTATGCGCAGTAAGAGATGCGCAGTGCAAAACCAGGGAATCACCTTAAACAGCACAAAAGGCATGCATTTTGGTTTGTGTCTGTTGAACTTTTTAAGGTCAAAAAATACCCCCAGAGAAGGAAAATTCTTGTGAAAATTTTTGTAAGTGAACTAAACCTAAGGTCTTGGAAAACTTGAAAAGGTCTTGGAAAAAGTCATGAAATTTGAACAGCTCAAAAGAGTACGAACCCTGTGCACAATGTTATAAGAATAAATGAATTTTGCAGCAAAATAAAAAAGAAAAAGTTTAGAGTTAACGTCAGCTACAGGATCTATGTTTTACATGTTTTTTTTTGTTCAATTTTGCAGCACTTGCTATTTAACAGACCTGACCAAGAAGTTTAATTCTCTGTCTGTAACAGGAATTTGTCAGCCACAATATGAAACTAGGGTAAGGTAACTGTACATGTATGGAACTCAAAACTCACTATGTTCTCGAATAAGTGTTCTCTTCTTTGTCAATAAAAAATGACTGCGAAAGAAAGAAAAAGGACACTTAGGGGGATATTACATGACGCGCTATACAATTGCCTTTCAAAATGGCCGCCGAACAATCACGAACAACCACACTTACTTGTAGGACATTTTTAACAGTAAATTACCTTGAAGTAGCATTGACCTTGGAAAAATGTTTAATTCAAGGTTATATCATAGTTTGCTTTACTTGAACTGAGCACTTCTTCATGAATTATGCGATTTTTCTTGATATCTTCAAGTTATCGCACGTCGCTTCTACAAAAGTATAAACGAGGGCGAACCTATGGACGGAAACTTAAGATAAATGTAGTAAGAGGTCCGTAGTTTGAAAGAATAATAAAACATGAAAGGGCATAGCATTTTTTTGCAAACTTATCGATTAAAGTGATCGAAACATTGATGAAATTGAAAGTTACCCCCGAGGATGTGTATTTATGTTCAGAGCCCCCCTCCCTTCTGGATTTCCAGAGCCGTTTACCCCCCTCTTGTGAGATTTTCCAGCATGCCTTCCGTCATGGGGGTGTGGATTTTTTCTGGAATAACCCAATGTAGTCAAATATCATCATTTTGAAAATGGCCTTTTCTATCCTTTGCGGGTATGGAACTTATATAATGTTAATGAGTTTTAAACAAACGTAAAATAGAATTAAACTAAATGTTAGACTGAACTAAAGTACCTATATGCACTGTACCTACAGTGGCTACAGTAATGTCTAATCCTATGTTTCGATTGTTTTCTTCTAGATGACACACATCTCTGCCATTCCTCTTGAACTGATTGTTTATATATTTAAGTGGGTTGTCTCCTCAGAACTGGATATGAAATCACTTGAGCAACTGGCAAGGGTAAATTACAGCCAAACGAGGCTACAGAACTGTATGAAGCCCTTGTTATTCAAACATGAGATAGTGCTATCAACTGGATATTAAATAACTAACCAGTGGATATGTACTGTGTATTAAAGAAACCAAACTTTCGGAATTATGAAGTGGACAGAGATTTATCCAGTGGAGAGCATTGTGCATTGTCCACCTTTTGAATAACTGGGGCCAGTAGACTTGGGGCCTGTTTACGTGGAGGCAGGGCCCCCAGATGGGTGAGGTAACATGCCCCAGGTCACCCCACCTATCATGTAAACGTGATCAAATTAAAATGAGAGATTATAATTATGGACAGGCGGGGTTATTACCCCACCAAAGCTGATTACCTCACCTACCTGGGGTCCTCCACCTTCCTGTAAACAGGCCCTTAACTGCCTATTGTGTAATGACATATTTTTTTTGTTGTTGGGACCATAATTATAAGTAGAGGACTTACTTTTGTATAAGTCAAACCAGTATATAAGCTGCCCCTCAATTTTTGAAGCTTCACTAGGCTTTTGGCATTTTTGTCATTATTAAGGTTAAAATAAATGCACAGAAGATCATCACAGTTGAAGACACAACTTTTGCGGTTGCGAAAGGAAAGCCTGAAAAAATTCCGGCTTGTTGGGATTCAATCTTGACCTCTCAATACTAGTACAGCACTCCAACCAACAATATTGAGTTAGCAAGCCAACTGGAAGTAATATTTGTTTCAACCAAAAAAGAAAGAAAGAAATGCAAGGAAGATCACGACAGTTAATGGGAAAAAAGCCTGCAATTTTCAGGAAAAAATTCAGACTAATTTTTTTCCGGCTTTCTTTTTGCAAATACATATTTAACGTTTTTTCTAAACTGCAATTGATCTTTCTTGAATTTATTTCTTCATTCTGTGGTTCAATTATATGAAATTCATATAAAATTATTTGTAGGGTTTAATTGCCTATTATGTAAAATGACTTTTTTTCATTCCTTGTTGTAACCAAATTGGCAATTTTTGCGTTAAAAGTAATGGGTTTACCAACCTCAAACAACTTTTTTTGTGTGTGTGTGGTGGATAAAGCGCAAGTCCCTTTTTGCTGTCTACAGCTTAACACTTTTTTATTACTCTCTGTATTTCCTTTGGTGACAGGTTTGTAAAGGCTTTAGTGCTTGTGCTAGAGATCCTGAGATATGGAAACTAGCATGTAAAAGGTACATTTCCTAAGTTGAAGCCCCAATTTTATGTTTACTGGATTGTAGCCAGTACGCACTATATGTACATGTATGTCAATGTATCTGTAAGTAAGTTTAAAGTCCATTTCAATTTCCCTTATAGTGCAAAAGTACTTAATATAATAAATCAGTTTGAAGATGATTAGATTAAAAAAATTAATTCTTTTAGAAGTTAGTAAGTTTCAGTTGAGATCCACGTTTGATCCATACTCGGTGGTGCCTCGGTTTTCTTTTTGAGGACTTTGCTAACTTTGCACTTTTGTTTCACTTAAAAAAATTATATTAAAAAAATACATTAGATGTCAAGATTGAAATGCCTGAGAGAAAAATGGGAACTATAGGCATGTGAACAACTGTATAAGACTTCACAAACCAAGGAGTTAGACCGAGGGCATACCAAAATGGGTCAAGGTTTTGTCAAGTTTTCTGTGCATGCATTGTAAGTCACTGTGTGTGTGTGTTCTCTTCCTTTATAATCATAATTATTTTTAGGTTGTGGGGGGTAAACTGTGGCAGTGCTGCTCATTGGAATGGCTGCTGGAGACTGATGTACATTAAACGTCCACATGTTCTATTTGTCGGTATGTAATGATCTCTCTAATAGGATCGTTTTACCCCATTCTTGGTGTAAATGAATGGATTACAGCAGCTCTAGTCTGCTTTGATTTTTCAGGAGTCTACATAAGCAAAACATCATATGTGAAACAAGGAGAAAGGTCCCTGGATTGCTACTATCGGCCATTTCATGTGGTGGAATACTACCGTTACATGAGGTTTTTTAGTGATGGTACAGTTGTCCTTCACACAAGTGCTGATGAACCTACCATAGCTATTCAAAGACTCAAGGTCAAGCTTGCCGGCAGTAACTCGTCTGTTTCTGTGGGGCATTACAGGTTAAATGGGGACAAGGTTTGTTTTTCTCTTCTTGTTGAGGGTTGATGCTGCTATTCTTACATTAGAACTCCCGTTTAGTAAAAAAGATTAATAGTTTATTTATAAAGATGATGTGAACTGCAGAAATGAAAATTCAAATGAACATAATTATGATCATCACAGTGGTAATTGAAATTCAATTAGTAAGGTCAGTAAGGCTGTAGGAAGATTTGTCAGGTCACTGTGCTCTAAGGGAAATTTTATTATTTGTAGTAGGAAAGAGTAAGGAAATTTTGAAAACAAAATTTGTTTTCAAAATTAATGTCGGTGGCAAGCATGGTGGAGTAACCATGGTCAGGGAGAGAACTTAATATAGGGATAACCTCATGATGATCCTCCTTCAGGTGTCATAATGGTTACTTGTAAACATTGTATGTATATAACAGGGTTGTCACTAAGATTTCAAGTTGCCAGGTAAATACAACAGGGGGTCGGCTAATGGTTCTTTTTCTTCTATATTCCAATGAAAAACAGTCTTAGTAGCCGGGGAAAATCCCCGGCCCCCGGCTCTTAATGACAACCCTGATATAACCATAAATTTTGACCTGCCACAGTCAACATCTCACATCATCATTGCAAACAATAAAAATCGGAAAGGAACTTATGATTGTTTGGGGCCATGCAGCGTGGGTATAGGTCAAATCTATAAGGATGTGGTTATGTGTCGAAGATCCTGAACTTTGAATTTGGGAATTTTAGGTGACCATTGTTGTCAATAAAAAGATGGCTACAGAAAGCAACAAAGGACGCAGGACAAGAGGGCCTCCCCCTTTGATCAGTGAGCAGATATTTCACATGGTATGTGGTCAGAGTCTGATTTCACCTTATAATATCTAGCGGATTCTTGAAAACGTACCTACCCAGATTTTTGCGGCCATTAGGGCCGAAAATCACATCCACAAAAGGAAAGGAAAGAAAAAATAGAAAGAGTGAGGAAACGCAAGAGAAAAAATGCAGTGGTTATTGGTTACTCTGGAGATAGTTATTGAACAAAAAATAAGTAAATATTAAATAAACTGCTTCAAGGAAGAGGTCTTGTTGGCAGCAATGTTTTCAAAAATGAGCTAGGAAAAAACGCATGTTTATAAATTGTTAGACATTTTTTAAATTTTAGTCTTAAGATGTTTCATAACTTTGTACTATTTTTAATTGCTCCTGTAAAACATCTAGAAAGTTCCTTTTCTTTCACTGGTGCTATATAAATAGTAAATATCATTATTATTACTATTATTATTATTATCATTACCATTATATATTATCATTAATAAGTAGTGATAATATATTACCACTATGCTTTTAAGTATTAAAAGTAACACAGGTTATGGCAGTTCCTGATTTGGTTACCATGAACTATTATGTCAATATAAGTGTAATGATTTTTTGTAGGAACTACAGATCAAAAGCACTAAACGAAATAAACACCACAATCAGTTGACCTGGCTTTACTACAGCATCAGCACAAAGTACAGGTATATCTGAGATTCTGGTGACAGTTCATAAAGGATTTATAGCTTCACCTCTATTTTTTTATATATATACTTTCAGGTCATCCGGTCAGACAGTCTGCTCACAGCTGGACTTGAACGACCAGTTTCCACCTCTCTACTTTTCTGCTGTCAAGAGTATCAGCAACAGTGCAACTGCCCCATTACAATAGACTGACTGTATAAGTACATCAAAGTTTCTCTGGGTCTCACCAAGTGTCAGTAAAACAATTATGTAAACAGAAACAAACGCTACACACCAAACTTACTGCTAGTATAACGAAACAATTAGAGGTACGATAAAACAAGTGGTTTTTCAACAGAACGAACAAGCAAAGTCTTCAAGTTAATTTCCCAAAATATAAACATACCAGAGAAATGTAAGGCTTTAGTTTCTTTGTGTTCTCAATTTTTTTAGAATGTATATAACATCACAGCTGTGATAACGGTTTTTTAAGCAAGATTTCATGTGGCTAATATGCAGCACCTATTCACATTTTTTCATTATTGTAGTGCACACTGTTTAATGCTGAACATTAAATTAATATACAGTGTAGAAAAAAAAGTATTTTTTTCTCCAAACTGACATTTTTAAGCATCCATTTAACACATGTTAGTGTTTGTAGGTTTTGTTTTGTTTTGCTTTTTAATTTACCTTAAGTGCATTTGACTCTTCACAGTGCCCCATTTTTTCTTAAGATCGCCACGATAAAGCGCTTAACAGTACAGGCTGCCATCTTAGTTTCTGATGTACCGAGGGGGTGGTCGTCCCCCCCTAATGCAAATCTTGACGATCTTATGGGAAAATAAGGGAATGTGAACAGTCTACAAGTGAATGAACGTCTTTAATTTGTCAACAATGGTGCAAATTCACACCATATGCCCCAGTGATCACTGGGAAACCTACGGCACCCAGGCAGTCTTTCCATTCCCACAAGCTCAAATCGAGTTGTCGTCAAGGCATGCAGTCCCTGACCAGGCCTTACAAACATCCTGTCAAATCTGATTTTAGGCTTTTTGGGGTATGGCCATTCAAGATTGTCATTCATCCGCATGTCCCAGGTAAACTCTGCTTCTTTAGGTCTCCCACACTGCTCCCAAGCATCTACTATGCCACTTGGTAGTCCTCCAATGGCTGACACCTCTGCGTCACGGAGGTTTGTGTCACCACCAAACACAACAGTAGCTTCCCCTGGTTGGTCTGTTATGCACCCCAAGACTTGCGCGAGCTGTCTTTTGCGTTCATCTTTACACTTCACTGTACTCTCAAGATGTGAAGTCATTAGAATTATTTCAGTTTTGTCCCTAAATATTGCGGGTTGACAAAGCAAGTGGCGACCCATTTGACTTGACGAGAAATGTGTGCACTGATGGTTACTTGTTGGTTTGACAGAAGAGTTCTTTAGCAGCATTATGTTGAAATATGCTCCATGTGTTGGTCCACATGTACACAAGTACCTTAAAATGAAAAGATTAACAGAAAGTTGTTATTTAAACCAGGCACCACTCCCACAGGCCTGTTTCTTGAAAGGCCCAGCAACTTTTCAGCACCTAAAGAAAACTTTAAAATTTAACCTTTAAAAAGGCCTGTTGAACAGTAGCAGAGGCAATTTTGCGCCATTTTCAGTTTATTGTATCACTCAGGGTTTCACAAACCATTTAAGAGACTGGTCCCTCCATTAACATTTAACAGTTTCTGGCAACTTGAAATCTTAGTGACAACCCTTTTCAAAATTATTGAAACTTTGATCTTGAACGCAAACACAACAAACATAAAAGAGCTTTTCAGACCTGAAAAGTTACCAGGAGTTTAGAGAAATGTGCCTCAAGGGCATCATGTGAGCATGAGTATTCTTTCACATGCACTTCTTCTATATTTTCAGGACTGTTTGTTCAGTGAAGGAAGAGGATTTACATGTATATGTTGTAGTTAATTTTTTGTTTTTGGGTATGGTAATGTATGCTAATGAATTTGAGACAAAATTCTTTAGGAAATTGAGTAATTTTAATTTTCAATGAACAAAAACCTTGTACCAGAATAATTTCAAGCATATTGCATTCTTTTTCACACTTTTCAAGGGCTATAAATGTAATAAGTTGTATGAAATAACTCGGAAGAAAAGGTTCTCATTGGAGCCTGAGAAAACAAACTTCAAAACCTTCAAATTCTCACACAATGAAATCTTGCTCATGACGATTTTAGATCATTTTACCCGTGTTTTCTCAATTCCTGTGAAATTTGAAATTTATTTTCTTGGGCTCCTGTAAGAAATTGTCTCTGGTGTTATTACAGATAACTAATTACATCTATAGCCCTTAAAAAGTGTAAATAAAAATGCGATATGGCTTAAAATATTCTGGTACAAGGTTTTTGTCCACTGAAAATTAAAATTGCTCAGTTTCCTAATGGATTCCGTCTTAACTACAACATATACACTTTTGTATAAAGTGAGGGATTACATGAAGGACTGGAAGGTTATCCACCTACCCTGGACATTTTGACTGGTAAATGGCTAAAGTCTGTGTGATCACCTCTTGTAAGAACACTGCATCAGGTTTTCTGTTGTTGATTATATGGCAAACATTTCTTGTTCTTTCCAGAATATTTCTTTCATCCAGACCATCAACATTCCATGACAAAACAGTCAAGTTTGGGTTACTCTGTTCATCTTTTTGTTCTCTGTGGAGAAAATCAAAATGTAAACCCCTTGGTAAATTTATGACTGTTCAAAACCCAGGTTGAGCAAGCTGAGAATTCAAGTTTAGATTGAAAGTAGTCATATGCCATGAGTGGTCACAATGTGAGAATTCACCCACATAATGAAAACTTAGAGTCACCTCGACCCCGGCATCTGTCTTTCAAACAATTGTGTAATGTGTTGAGGGGGGGTTGTGGGGGGGAATAAAACTTGGGTTGGCTTGGAGGGTATTGCTGCCCAGGCTCCACTGGGACCACATCTTTTATTCAAAATGTCTTTTCAAACAAGGCTTTGTGGTAATGATATTGAAACATTTAGAAAATCATATCACATTATGCATATCACATTTTAGGTTATGAGAACTTGTTAAGAGATTTACTCAGTTTCCTGTTTGATTCCCATAGGGCTAAGTTAAAAACCAGGATGCAAAGTTTAGAATTGTTTCTTAGCACTTGAGCATGTTAAAACCAGAGATGTAGAAGAGAATCTAGAGGAGCTTTGAGAATCTGTGCTAGTTGAATCTGAAAACCTAGGTGGAAGTGAAGATAAGGGTGTTATATCCATGTGTGAATTGTAAAATAAAAATAAGCAGTCACCAAAACCTGAGTTTTGTCAGCACTCAAGCAACAGAGGACCACCGGACCAAAATGAAAACCCTGCAGTTAGTGAACTGGAGTACACCTCCTAAGCTCATAATAATAATTTATTATGGGTACCTACAAGAATATCAACTTACTTGTTTGATGAACCCGTGGATAAAGCTGATACATCATCTTCAGACACCTAAAAATGGCATAAATATAGCAAAGATATTAATTTGGAAGCATTTGGAAAAACTGGAAAATTAACAAGGCTCTGTCAGATAGAACATGGATTTGAAACACGGACATAAGATAGGCAAAGTACAAACAAATGGGACAGTAAGTTGGATTAAAACTGCAAAAGTAAAGAACTGACCAGAGAAAACTTCAAAATTGAAACGTTTAAATGAAGAACCAGAGGCAGAAACATTGCTTTTAAGTCCTCCTCAAAATTTCAAACAAAAGGTTTTGAAATTCCAACTAATAAATTAGTGAAATCCATAATTCCCTAAACAGGTGCAATGAATGTCACCCCTAACTCTCAAGTTGCTTAATGATGTTTTGAGAAAATTGCCCAGTCAAAGGAATTCCCCTGTCAAAAATACTTACCATTATTGGATTATCCCTGTTTCCTTCACTGCTACCACAATTTGCTTGATCAAGAAAAATATTTACCGCTGACTGAAAAAAAAGTACATTCCTGTAAAGCAGTTTCTTGTAAGGACATACAGGTTAATAGGCACATGTTGAAATCCTTGTCCATTTGCAAATCAAATATGTATATTTTTCTAATCCACACCCATGCAAAACACCAAAATTTTCCCGGTCAAAGCCCTATAATTTTTATTAACACCTATCATAAAAGACCACCTCTCACCCATAAGCATCCCCAGCCACTTTTTCGCCAGATGTTTTATAGTTCCCAACTGATTTTAACCTCTAGTAAGTGATCACTTGAAGCATGGTGTGGTCTGTTTGTGCACTGAATGTTCTACGCTGCTCAGAGTATACGATGAACTTTCATAACCCTAGAGAGAACATCTGCATGGGAGGCTACCACAAATGCAGTGAAACCTACCGTTGCTTTTCTTCTAGAGGCTAAATACCCCTACTGCCCGCTGTGGCTCACCTATACCCAAATATCGGTCGAGTGCGGCAGGGGTATTTTGCCGAATGTGGAATGGCGCTCAGGTTTGGTTATTAGGGTTAGGAAACTGAGTGAACTGACGTCAGGTTAGTTTAATGCACCAGTCAATGTTAAGCCCCAGGGTAGTGGGGCCAGGCATCCCTGGGGCATTTGACTGTATTTCCTCTCCTATGGGTAGGGATAATAAAAGATTTGATGTAACACAACATCCCAAGGATGGGGGAGTTTGGAAAGATCTTGCAAGAGCCTGGAACCTAGTCTGAAACATTACCCAGAGTTCCTTGGGATTGCTGTTTCTGGAGTTCCTTATGCCCACATATCTTTGTTACTCATTCATTGACTAAACAGCGTTAAAAGGTTCTTGATTTTGGGAGAAATGGCTCTGTACAAAGTGTTGGACATAACTAGACAAAAAATAAAGACTGTGGGAGTGACAAGGAAATAATGCATCATAATTTATATCATCTTAAATCAAACAAAATGTACCCCAGGGAAAGGGTATTTGACATCAGTCTATTCCCCCTGGGTAAAGAATGTGGCATGAAGATGGCCTAAAATGTCAAATCCCCCGGGTATGCCTAGTTCCCCTACCCTGTGGCTTAACACAGCCACTGGTTAATAGACCTCTTTCATAATGGCAGCCTAAGAATATATTCTTTTTTATGAATAATAATTAGCCTTTCTGACCTCGTTGGTATGTGCAAAATACAAAACAATTTTACTTGCAAACGAGATAAGAAAGAATATATAAATAAGCCGCCATTATGAAAGAGGTCTATAACACATGATTTCACCGTTGCTTTCATAAAGCTTGAACGAAGCAGAAGCCTGGTCCTAATTCCCCTCCTCACTCCACACTCGAAGTACGAACAATGAAAAGCGTTCATCCACATCTATAAAAAGGTAGTTTAAAGTGAAATAAATACCTGCACATTCCAACCTGACTGCTGTAGAAAGAGCATTGCTACAGTATCTTCAGCGCCTGTTACGGCCATGAACTGTTCAACCAAATCGGTGATTTCAAACTCCACGAACGCCATGTTGAAGCGTTATGGTCTGTTCGTGTTCTGTTTGTTGGCGCTCGTAAGGAGCTCTCTTCGTTCTTTAACACCTAATCACTTGTATGGACAAAGTTAACGCAGCCTCGTCGAAAGAAAGTCTCTTTGTGAGAATGGCGCGAAAATCCGCGAAAACAGTGTAACCTGGCCACATATCTGTAACGCCAGTAAGGCCTGTTCAATTTTTACCAGTGTGTTTCCTACGATGAGACGATCGCTGTCTTCGAAAAGGCAGAGGTAAGGTTTGTTGTAATCTTCCGTTTATTATTTGGTTCTCATAGCAAAGAAAATTTTGTTAAGTTGCAAACTTGAGCGATGTAGTAAAGTAAAGATTCGGTAGAATAATCCTTTTGCGATCGTGACAACTGATCGTGAGATATAGAACAGGAGTAAATCGACTGACGATATGCAGGTCATTTCTGGACTTGTACTGCAATGAATAGATAAAGAAATGAAAACTTTGACCTTATCCCCCGATCTGCTATTTATTTATTTATTTTAGTGGCAATCAAATGCAATATCTGTCTGTGTATATTTCGGCTTGTGGTGTAACGTTCTTGGTGTCACGTCGGGTCATGGCACAGAGTAGGATCTTGAGACTGGTGTTTCTGACTTTGCAGGATAAAGGTACCGATGCCTCTCTGTTGAGTTAAACGTAAGTTAAGTTTTCTAGAGGAGTATTAAAACAGTATCAAAAATTCCCGAGATTGTGTGGGCCATCACGCCCTCGGGATACATGCCATTCAACTTTGTTTGTGCAATGTAGTGGGGAGGTTTTGGGGGGGGGAGGGGTTCAGCATGAATGATTTTAAAAAGCCCCACAAATACGGATTCCAATCCCAGATCTCAATCCCAGGGGCAACCAACGACGGGTTCCTCCTACACACATTGAAAACACTTTTTAGGCTATCCAGAGTACTTTTAGATCTCTAAAAATGCATTTTAAGCGGCGCTATAAAATTTGTATCTGTTAGGTCATCCTACGGGAACTTGAGTCTTTTCGAGATTACAAGGGTTTGAGTAATGTTTTCCTGAAAATTTTAGATGCAATTTGTCTCATTACAAAAGTGAGACATTTCTGATTCCTCTCTCCATCACATTTTTGAATCCGATAATTTTAAGTTTCCTTTTTCCTACGAAATTTAGCCTAACTTCGGAAGTGAAATGTGAAAATTAATGTGAAAATCATAGGGAATTTTTTAGAAAAGCTTCGAAAATTTTACGTGAATTGAACGGTCATCTAGAAATTTTTAGTTTTAGCTGTCCTCGAGTACTAGAAAATTCTGGGCAATACTTGCTTCTCCAAACAGATATTTTACAGAAAACGGTCGTTGGGTGCCCTTGCAATCTCAAGACTTGTATTCATGATTGTGGCGTAGAGCGGTTTTCACGTGACTGTCGAAAGGGATTGGTTTTGGTTTTGGTTTTGGTTTTACTACGCCCTTTGGTTGGCTAGTGTATTTACTTTGGTTTTGGTTTTACAACAGTCAAGTGAAAACCGCTCTAGCATGAATTCTGTAATCTGATAGGCTAATGACAACAAAATACATATTAAGAATTTTTAATTTTGTGGTTTATTTATGACAATCAAAGGACATTCTCGTGCATTTAAGTTGTGTAAACATAGACATGTCGTTTAGGTGTTTTTGTTTTTTTTTTTTTTAATAAAAAAGGTTTTGTCTAAAACCACTAAATGGTGGTACTTGTTTTCGTTTTCTGAAAGTCAAATGGTCAACTCCTTGCTTACCCACAGCAACCTTTTCCAGGAGTATCCATATGGGGTGGGGGAGGGAAGGAGAGTAGTTGTTTATTTACATTCAATCTAGGATTGTAAGTAACATATGATTGGTCATACTCTGATATAGCTCAACACCAGAGGAGCAAGCGGGGACCCTGGGGGTGGAATTCAAATTTGAGATGTGCACATATTAAAGCTCTGCAAATCTCCTTCCTACCCCCAACCATTCCCCTCGCCCTCCCCCCAAGAGCCTGCTCACTGGTCTTGAGGTGGTGCACGCCCTGTTGACTCTTGACACATGGCAATCTTGAACTCGTAGTGTAGACTGTTAAGTATTTCATTTTTTTTCCTTGCAATTTAATCAGTAATCTTCCCTCACTGTTCCACCTGTTTTGGCCCTAAGCACTCTTTTTTCTAACCAACTAAGCTTCGACTTGTCTTTTCTCTTCTCAAGGAGGTGATAATAAAGGCCGTTAAATGATACTTTGTTTGACAAAACAGGTTGTGGCTACGAATTATACATATTGAGAAAACGTCCCCCAATCCTTCTACATATATAAATACTATACCCTTTGTACCCTGTACATTTGTTCATGTACCTTTAGTGTTCATTCGCAATTACCGGGGTAAATTCTATCTTCACGAGTCTTCCAAAAACAATAATTTTATGCGAGAAAAATGATCGAGAACTTGCCATAATTTTTAGTTTGGAAATATCACTTGAGGTTACACTGAGTCCTTTTCTCCCACGAGGTAAGACTTTTCGTTCTGTTTTGTAACGAAGAATAGGTGTGGGTCAGGTTGAAATTTATGATATTTGCCGCATAAAGGACTCACAACACAATGCATCCGCTTCCTTTTGCGGAAATTGCCTTCCCTGTGGTGTGCACGTGTTAAAAGGCCTGCTTTCACGAGCTGTTTTGTCGCGCTTTAAGAGCTGCGATTTCAGGAGTGATTTCAGATCGCTAGTGTAAATCTACCAGTGGCAAGTTAACGTTGTGGCGATTTCCTCGCAATTTCATAGAGATTGTCAAATTTTTATGTAGTTGTCACAATGAGTGATTCGCGTTTATCTCACTGTGTGGTCAAAGAATTTTTTTCTTATTATTTTTTAAAACAACAGTTTTATTTCTCTTCTTCTTATTTTCGCTGTTTAACTTCATTACGATAATCCCCACTCTATACTGTCGTCGTCGTGCTTACTTTAATAAGCTTCCTTATTTTCTGTAGCTGTGACCTACCCGTATTAAACTCCAGTAAGTTTCCTGTAAAAATAAATAACCATAAAGCGATTAATGTAGAATCCTTAATTATACGGCTTTACGCGCCACTTGGTGCAAAAGGTTCTGAAAGCAGGTAACACTGAAAATCCCCATTCTTGGCAATTCACAAATGACATTTGTCTTTGGCGTAACGGAGCTATTAAAACGGTACTCGAACATGTCACATTTTTGCTTGAGAAATTTCCTCTTCCAAATGGTTCAATTGAGTTTACATTCCATCCGAAAATTGAGTCATTCATGGTATCTATTCACCGAATACACAGAGACAAAAACGCTTCTTTGGCAAAATCAATCGAGGTTTAGTACCGTAAATCAAGCATATCAGAATGGCCATGCCTCCAGAGAACATTGAGGTTGTTTAGATATCTGATGGAAAAAAAGATTGGTCTCTTTTTTTCTCACTTTTCTTTCGCCTGAAAACTTAAGTAACTGCACACGCTAAATATAGCCATCGATAAGTCATTCCCATACATAGGGACGATGTTTCAGTGGAAGCATTTCGCTCGTGAAAATCACTGACAGATCGGCTTGTACTTGATTAATTTTTCATGCCGTCAATTTATCGGCGTATAATTGGTTTTCGTTTGAAAAGGTGGTAAAAAGTCATAAACAAGACAATCGTGGACAGACAAACAAACATCCTCCGTGAAAGATGAAAAGTTACTTGTCAAGTTCGAGTAAAACGATCTTTCGACCTTTTTGAAGGAGAGTAATAAAAAAGATCCAAATGTCGATCATAGATTTGGCATTTTACCTATTTCCTTGTGAGCCGTGAGCCTTTCCGAGGCCGTGATCTGATGTTTAAATTTGACCATGATCCGAAACTAAACCAAAACCCTTAGGACCTGTTTAACATGACGTAATCTAAGTCGGCTACATACCACTGAGTTCCACACTAAACGGTTGGTCGAAAGTTTTCCGGTTGTTAACTTCGAGAAAATAGCAACAAAAATCTAGATGCATCACTGATTCGGCTTATTAAGCCTTTGGTATACCTTCTCCGCCTTGTTTACTCCGGCAGAGCGTGTCACCCCCTTTTTCATTTCAGTAACTTTAATGGTGGTCATCGAATAGCAATCACCATGAAGAAATGCATACAGTCCACTTTTCAGCTGTAAGACCCAAGATAGCCTTGACGTTGGTAATACTAGTGCTTTTGCAATTACCTGGTATGTATCGCTCGCATTCCATCGAAAGAACAAAGTATTGATTAAGGCGTGTAAACATCGCTAACCGTTTCTTTCCGTTACAGGTGTCTCGCCAAGTTTTGACTTCTCCGGTTCCTCGTATATCTGCACAAAAAATGGCAAAAACATAACTTACGCGTTTCGCTCTGAGCCGTACTGGCATGAAAAACGCTGGAGTGAAAACCCGCGCTTCATCAGCGCGTTTACAACGTTCCACGGTTGCGTTTCGCGCTGTTGTTTTCTGAAATGGTGCAAACAAGCTCTTGTATCACGAGGAGCTTGTTTCGGCTCATATTGCAAGGATCGTTTGTGTTCGTATGGAAATCCTCGGACCATAAGGTTAAACTCGGAATATCAGAGAAAAACACTCATTCAAGACCGTCTGCGAGGTAAGATTTGTCAACTTAACAATCCTTCATTTGATTTGCCCTTTGTTCTATCGATGCGCATCGGGAAGCCGAACAATTTAATCGAAGCTTAATTTTAAACTGAAGAAAAACTGCAGGTATTTTAATTAATACAGGCAAGGGTCATGTAGGTGTTATTTCTCAACAACTTTATCTGACTTTGATCTTTTTTAAACCGTTGGGACAGGAAAGTTGAGTTTAATTTCCGTTTGATCTTTTAAGTTTAGTCCGGATTTGGCAGGCACCTAATATGATCTAAGCGTAGTGGTATGGAAGAAAGCTTAAAGGAAGAAATAAAAAAAAGAGTACCTTTGGATTCCATGAACTTTTCGGTTCCTTCCAAAGGGTTTTAAAAATTTACGTGTTCTCTCGTCGTCTTAGGCCTCTTGTTTCTTTGGCTAAAATAGCAGTTGGTTGCTTTAAATCACTCTGACGCGTTTTACATCGATGATTACATAACGCGTTAAAACTATTCCATAGAGCAGTTA